ACCCTCCCTAGCCAGGCCTCCCTGACAACCCCTCCCTGGCCAGGCCTCCCTGACAACCCCTCCCTGGCCAGGCCTCCCTGACAACCCCTCCCTGGCCAGGCCTCCCTGACAACCCCTCCCTGGCTAGGCCTCCCTGACGACCCTCCCTAGCCAGGCCTCCCTGACAACCCCTCCCTGGCCAGGCCTCCCTGACAACCCCTCCCTGGCCAGGCCTCCCTGACAACCCCTCCCTGGCCAGGCCTCCCTGACGACCCTCCCTAGCCAGGCCTCCCTGACAACCCCTCCCTGGCCAGGCCTCCCTGACGACCCTCCCTAGCCAGGCCTCCCTGACAACCCTCCCTGGCCAGGCCTCCCTGACGACCCTCCCTAGCCAGGCCTCCCTGACAACCCTCCCTAGCCAGGCCTCCCTGACAACCCTCCCTAGCCAGGCCTCCCTGACAACCCTCCCTAGCCAGGCCTCCCTGACAACCCTCCCTAGCCAGGCCTCCCTGACGACCCTCCCTAGCCAGGCCTCCCTGACGACCCTCCCTAGCCAGGCCTCCCTGACAACCCCTTCCTGGCCATGCCTCCCTGACGACCCTCCCTAGCCAGGCCTCCCTGACAACTCCTCCCTGGCCAGGCCTCCCTGACAACCCCTCCCTGGCCAGGCCTCCATGACGACCCTTCCTAGCCAGGCCTCCCTGACAACCCTCCCTGGCCAGGCCTCCCTGACGACCCTCCCTAGCCAGGCCTCCCTGACAACCCCTCCCTGGCCAGGCCTCCCTGACGACCCTCCCTAGCCAGGCCTCCCTGACGACCCTCCCTAGCCAGGCCTCCCTGACAACCCTCCCTGGCCAGGCCTCCCTGACGACCCTCCCTAGCCAGGCCTCCCTGACAACCCTCCCTGGCCAGGCCTCCCTGACGACCCTCCCTAGCCAGGCCTCCCTGACGACCCTCCCTAGCCAGGCCTCCCTGACGACCCTCCCTACCAGGCCTCCCTGACGACCCTCCCTAGCCAGGCCTCCCTGACAACCCTCCCTGGCCAGGCCTCCCTGACGACCCTCCCTAGCCAGGCCTCCCTGACGACCCTCCCTGGCCAGGCCTCCCTGACAATCCTCCCTGGCCAGGCCTCCCTGACGACCCTCCCTAGCGAGGCCTCCCTGACGACCCTCCCTAGCGAGGCCTCCCTGACAACCCTCCCTGGCCAGGCCTCCCTGACGACCCTCCCTAGCCAGGCCTCCCTGACAACCCTCCTTAGCCAGGCCTCCCTGACAACCCTCCCTAGCCAGGCCTCCCTGACACCCTCCCTAGCCAGGCCTCCCTGACGACCCTCCCTGGCCAGGCCTCCCTGACAATCCTCCCTGGCCAGGCCTCCCTGACGACCCTCCCTAGCGAGGCCTCCCTGACAACCCCTCCCTGGCCAGGCCTCCCTGACGACCCTCCCTAGCCAGGCCTCCCTTATAGCCCTCCCTAGCCAGGCCTCCCTTATAGCCCTCCCTAGCCAGGCCTCCCTTATAGCCCTCCCTAGCCAGGCCTCCCTGACAACCCTCCCTAGCCAGGCCTCCCTGACAACCCTCCCTAGCCAGGCTTCCCTGACAACCCTCCCTAGCGAGGCCTCCCTGACAACCCTCCCTAGCCAGGCCTCCTAGCCAGGCCTCCCTGACAACCCTCCCTAGCCAGGCCTCCCTGACAACCCTCCCTAGCCAGGCCTCCCTGACAACCCTCCCTAGCCAGGCCTCCCTGACAACCCTCCCTAGCCAGGCCTCCCTGACAACCCTCCCTAGCGAGGCCTCCCTGACAACCCTCCCTAGCGAGGCCTCCCTGACAACCCTCCCTAGCGAGGCCTCCCTGACAACCCTCCCTAGCGAGGCCTCCCTGACAACCCTCCCTAGCCAGGCCTCCCTGACAACCCTCCCTAGCCAGGCCTCCTAGGAGACGGCCCTCCCTAGCCAGGCCTCCCTGACAACCCTCCCTAGCCAGGCCTCCCTGACAACCCTCCCTAGCCAGGCCTCCTAGGAGACGGCCCTCCCAGCTCACCCAGCTTCGGGGTGAAGGAAAAAAAATCACCGTTCAAGAACGAGGTTTTCCTTGAGCGGAGTTTTTCTCCACATTCCAGCGCCACCTGCTGCTGCTCCTCTGTCAATTTTCCTACCAGGTTATTGTCACCAGGCCTATGTTTTTCTGCTCTGTTCTCCGGTATCCGGCCCCTCCCCTCCGGTATCCGGCTGTCGGATGACGTTGGTTACATTTTCCTATTCTCTTCCAAATTGGGTCTTGAATTTGATCTGTTCTCTACCAGATCAAATTTGTACTCCGTGGAAGACCTGGTTTACTGGTATACCCATGGGAAGACCTGGTTTACCGGTAAACTATTGCTTTTTACAGTTAGTGAGGATCACCTAGCCAGTAGCGAGGGGTGTTCGCGCGCTCACCCATCCAGTTACTGGGTACACACCGCGCGATTATCCCTAGTGAATGATCTACCTTGAGGTTACCTTGAGGTGCTTCCGGGGCTTAGCGTCCCCACGGCCCGGTCCCCGATCAGGCCTCCTGGTTGCTGGGCTGGTCAACCAGGCTGTTGGACGCGGCTGCTCACAGCCTGACGTATGAGTCACAGCCTGGTTGATCCGGTATCCTTTGGAGGTGCTTATGAAGTTCTCTCTTGAACACTGTGAGGGGTCGGCCAGTTATGTCCCTTATGTGTAGTGGAAGTGTGTTGAACAGTCTCGGGCCTCTGATGTTGATAGTTCTCTCTTGAACACTGTGAGGGGTCGGCCAGTTATGTCCCTTATGTGTAGTGGAAGCGTGTTGAACAGTCTCGGACCTCTGATGTTGATAGTTCTCTCTTGAACACTGTGAGGGGTCGTTCAGTTATGTCCCTTATGTGTAGTGGAAGCGTGTTGAACAGTCTCGGGCCTCTGATGTTGATAGTTCTCTCTTGAACACTGTGAGGGGTCGGCCAGTTATGTCCCTTATGTGTAGCGGAAGCGTGTTGAACAGTCTCGGGCCTCTGATGTTGATAGTTCTCTCTTGAACACTGTGAGGGGTCGGCCAGTTATGTCCCTTATGTGTAGTGGAAGCGTGTTGAACAGTCTCGGACCTCTGATGTTGATAGTTCTCTCTTGAACACTGTGAGGGGTCGGCCAGTTATATCCCTTATGTGTAGTGGAAGCGTGTTGAACAGTCTCGGACCTCTGATGTTGATAGTTCTCTCTTGAACACTGTGAGGGGTCGGCCAGTTATGTCCCTTATGTGTAGTAGAAGCGTGTTGAACAGTCTCGGGCCTCTGATGTTGATATGTGACGGGCACATATCTCTCATGGACTTATTACGTCATAAAAGAGACGTTGCTTTCTTGCAGATAAAGGTGCAGTGATTTCTTCACCGCTATATTTGGAGTTCTTGGGTCCGGCGGTGTTGCAGGTGTGGTGTAGGGGTTGCAGGTGTGGTGTAGTAGTGCGTGGGGCCAGCTCGTCCTCAAAACATTGGGGGAAGGGGAACTATCAGGGGAAAGCGCCAAGCCATTCCGAATACATATGCCACTGGGAAGGGGGGTTATCTTGAGATGGTTATCTTGAGATGATTTCGGGGCTTTGGTGTCCACGCGGCCCGGTCCTAGACCAGGACTCCATCCCCCAGGAAGCAGCCCGTGACAGTTGACTAACACCCAGGTACCTATTTTACTGCTAGGTAACAGGAGCATAGGGTGAAAGAAACTCTGCTCATTGTTTCTCGCCGGCGCCTGGGATCGAACCCGGGACCACAGGATCACAAGTCCAGCGTGCTGTCCGCTCGGCCGACCGGCTCCCAAACTAGATAAGTTTGGATAGGATAGGGGGGTCAGGATAAGGATTTGGGATGGGTTGGAGGAAGAGGAATGGTGTTCAGCCACTTGTGGACGGTCGGGGGATTGAACGTCGACCTGCATGAAGCGAGACCGTCGCTCTACCGTCCAGCCCAAGTGGTTGAGCTTTGTGAAAGAGAAAACACGCACTCCCTTGAACATTATCTTGTAGAATGTCCCATATTGATCCTGTGAGCGGTAGTTTATTGTGCACCCCATACTCGTCCTGTGAGCAGTAGTTTATTGTGCACCCCATACTCGTCCTGTGAGCGGTAGTTTGTGCACCCCATACTCGTCCTGTGAGCGGTAGTTTATTGTGCACCCCATACTCATCCTGTGAGCAGTAGTTTATTGTGCACCCCATACTCATCCTGTGAGCGGTAGTTTATTGTGCACCCCATACTCGTCCTGTGAGCGGTAGCGCAAAAAGCATTACAGAGGGCACAAAAGGTCTTTATCAGACCTCAACGGAGATTATTACATAAACAATTTTATCTATCCTTCACACCTTATAAAGATGTTTTGCCATTTCATACAATGTGAGTTTAGATGTATCTCTAAATGGCTCAATTTGATCACAGTCCAAGATATAATGCTCAAGTGTGTGTCCCTGTCTTTGTCCACACACTTTACACTTTACTTCATCTAGATCCCTATACAAGCCGAACAGCCAGAGATACTTGTAGCCAAGTCTTATACGAGCTATGACAACATCTGTTAGTCTCCTGGTGTTGATACTTGCCCATGATATACTGGGGGCCAGATTCACGAAGCTGTTACGCAGGTACTTACGAACGTGTACATCTTTTCTCAATCTTTGGCGGTTTTGTTTACATATATGAAACAGTTTACAAACATGAAAATTTCACAATCAACTGTTGTTGTTGTTATAAACAGCTTCCTGGTGCTTCGGAGATCATTAAATGCCTAATAATTATAAACAAAGCCGCCAAAAATTGAGAAAAGATGTACACGTTCGTAAGTACTTGCGTAACTGCTTCGTGAATCTGGCCCCAGGTCCTGTACCGAAGATCTACCATGTAATGCAACAGTTTTGTAATATATGTGATGTAATTATAACTCCTTTATTAATATATGTGATGTAATTATAACTCCTTTATTAATATATGTGATGTAATTATAACTCCTTTATTAATATATTTGTTCTGTTGGGCAGGCATGAACGCGGGCGGCGGCGGCGGGCGGCGCGGGTGCTGGTGAAGCAGGCGGCGCTGGAGGCGTGTGTGGGGGCAGCGGGTACTGCAGCAAGATGGGAGGCCTGGCGCTCCTGCACCTGCTACTGGCGGCTCTGGGGGCTCTCCTCTGCCTCGCCACCCCAGTCCTCGCCAGACTCGTCGGCTCCTGGATGTGAGTACTCGCTCCCGTACTCCTGTAGTACTCGTCCTGCTCACCCACTTCCTTGTCAACACCTCTAACCAGTACCTGGAATATTTTCCAAAGCTTCTGCTTTATATATAGGGTCCTTGTTGTGATTGGTTTCTTTATGCCACAGCTTAGGATCTGGAACTTGTCATTGAAACTAACCTTGTTTTCTGTGGCCCATTGAACGACATCGTGTTTACCAGTTTGGTGGTCTGCTGTGTTCTCAATATTGTCTACTCGTAAGAACCTCCTGGTGTCATAGTCACCGTTTCAGCAGCCAGCTGGTGCAGGGGTCGTGGCACGGTCAGCAGCCAGCTGGTGCAGGGGTCGTGGCACGGTCAGCAGCCAGCTGGTGCAGGGGTCGTGGCACGGTCAGCAGCCAGCTGGTGCAGGCACGGTCAGTAGCCAGCTGGTGCAGGGGTCGTGGCACGGTCAGCAGCCAGCTGGTGCAGGCACGGTCAGTAGCCAGCTGGTGCAGGGGTCGTGGCACGGTCAGTAGCCAGCTGGTGCAGGGGTCGTGGCACGGTCAGTAGCCAGCTGGTGCAGGGGTCGTGGCACGGTCAGTAGCCAGCTGGTGCAGGCACGGTCAGTAGCCAGCTGGTGCAGGGGTCGTGGCACGGTCAGTAGCCAGCTGGTGCAGGGGTCGTGGCACGGTCAGTAGCCAGCTGGTGCAGGGGTCGTGGCACGGTCAGCAGCCAGGTGGTGCAGGGGTCGTGGCACGGTCAGTAGCCAGCTGGTGCAGGGGTCGTGGCACGGTCAGCAGCCAGCTGGTGCAGGGGTCGTGGCACGGTCAGTAGCCAGCTGGTGCAGGGATCGTGGCACGGTCAGCAGCCAGGTGGTGCAGGGGTCGTGGCACGGTCAGTAGCCAGCTGGTGCAGGGGTCGTGGCACGGTCAGCAGCCAGGTGGTGCAGGGGTCGTGGCACGGTCAGCAGCCAGGTGGTGCAGGGGTCGTGGCACGGTCAGCAGCCAGGTGGTGCAGGGGTCGTGGCACGGTCAGTAGCCAGCTGGTGCAGGGGTCGTGGCACGGTCAGTAGCCAGCTGGTGCAGGGGTCGTGGCACGGTCAGTAGCCAGCTGGTGCAGGGGTCGTGGCACGGTCAGTAGCCAGCTGGTGCAGGGGTCGTGGCACGGTCAGTAGCCAGCTGGTGCAGGGGTCGTGGCACGGTCAGTAGCCAGCTGGTGCAGGGGTCGTGGCACGGTCAGTAGCCAGCTGGTGCAGGGGTCGTGGCACGGTCAGTAGCCAGCTGGTGCAGGGGTCGTGGCACGGTCAGTAGCCAGCTGGTGCAGGGGTCGTGGCACGGTCAGTAGCCAGCTGGTGCAGGGGTCGTGGCACGGTCAGTAGCCAGCTGGTGCAGGGGTCGTGGCACGGTCAGTAGCCAGCTGGTGCAGGGGTCGTGGCACGGTCAGTAGCCAGCTGGTGCAGGGGTCGTGGCACGGTCAGTAGCCAGCTGGTGCAGGGGTCGTGGCACGGTCAGTAGCCAGCTGGTGCAGGGGTCGTGGCACGGTCAGTAGCCAGCTGGTGCAGGGGTCGTGGCACGGTCAGTAGCCAGGTGGTGCAGGGGTCGTGGCACGGTCAGTAGCCAGCTGGTGCAGGGGTCGTGGCACGGTCAGTAGCCAGCTGGTGCAGGGGTCGTGGCACGGTCAGTAGCCAGCTGGTGCAGGGGTCGTGGCACGGTCAGTAGCCAGCTGGTGCAGGGGTCGTGGCACGGTCAGTAGCCAGCTGGTGCAGGGGTCGTGGCACGGTCAGTAGCCAGCTGGTGCAGGGGTCGTGGCACGGTCAGTAGCCAGCTGGTGCAGGGGTCGTGGCACGGTCAGTAGCCAGCTGGTGCAGGGGTCGTGGCACGGTCAGTAGCCAGCTGGTGCAGGGGTCGTGGCACGGTCAGTAGCCAGCTGGTGCAGGGGTCGTGGCACGGTCAGTAGCCAGCTGGTGCAGGGGTCGTGGCACGGTCAGCAACCAGTTGTGTGGACATAATTACCTTAACTTTTACACAGTGTTGTAATTAAACAAAAAGAAGACAACAATAGCTCAGCGCGAATCATCCCTGTGGCTCCTTACAGGTGTCTGGTCGTGACTCCTTACAGGTGTCTGGTCGTGACTCCTTACAGGTGTCTGGTCGTGACTCCTTACAGGTGTCTGGTCGTGGCTCCTTACAGGTGTCTGGTCGTGGCTCCTTACAGGTGTCCGGTCGTGGCTCCTTACAGGTGTCTGGTCGTGACTCCTTACAGGTGTCTGGTCGTGGCTCCTTACAGGTGTCTGGTCGTGACTCCTTACAGGTGTCTGGTCGTGACTCCTTACAGGTGTCCGGTCGTGGCTCCTTACAGGTGTCCGGTCGTGGCTCCTTACAGGTGTCCGGTCGTGGCTCCTTACAGGTGTCCGGTCGTGGCTCCTTACAGGTGTCCGGTCGTGGCTCCTTACAGGTGTCTGGTCGTGGCTCCTTACAGGTGTCTGGTCGTGGCTCCTTGTGGGAACCGACCTGTGAGATTTATATTTGTTTAATTTATATGAATTTATATTTACGTTAATTTATATACTTCGATAGCAATTTGTATAATGATAAGTGGACTGTATTTCTGCAATAATCTCATAATCTCACAAATCGATCCTCTACACATTAGGGGGGGTTTATATTACACATATGCAGCCAATCAAATTACAGTAATAGCTACATACATTGATGAGGTTCCTTCTCTTATAGTACAGCAGGTTAGTCCACCAGGTATAACTAGAGTGTAGACACCAAATTATCCTCTTTGAGGTAGCTTCTATCACCCAGTAACTGGTGCACATAATCTTGCATCCTCGTCTTGACCTGTCAAAAGTGCGCTAGCTGTGAAGCCAGAATCCTATATATGACAAGCTATATCAGAGAAAACACTATACAGTACATGGAACATTAAAGACCTGGCTTAATTACCTTTAGTATGAGGCGATTTCGCGTTCTAACCGGCTAACCCTATATCCTGACATTAATGGCCATAAATGAATGATAAACGGGTTTCGGATAGACACTTAACTTGTATTTGTAGACAGCGTGTTGACAATGGTACACCTTTGGGTTCCATAACACTACGTCCAAGTAAATTTAACAGGAGCCGAATTTGCTCCCGTGTGAGCCTCTGGTCTCATAAACAACAATGGCTGCCCTCCTTCCTCCACTCTGACGCCTGGCTTACATTGTCCAGATTTCAGAACGTGATAGAAGGGTCACATTTACTCTACTTTAATATTGATAATTAAGTTAATTTATATAAGATGTTTTTATGATGGTAAAGTCCAAAGACTAATGTATTTAAGAATAATTCCCAGCAGAATAGCTGGTGAATTATAATAGTATGTGGTGATGATATCCCGTTTTCTTTAGACGGTAATTCCACTACAAGTTACGTTTTCTATGGGTAACTTGTTGGTAATACAGCAGCTATTATCTGTATGATATTAAATGGTGTCGGATTTTCCGACACTCCTTACAGGTGTCTGGTCGTGACTCCTTACAGGTGTCTGGTCGTGACTCCTTACAGGTGTCTGGTCGTGGCTCCTTACAGGTGTCCGGTCGTGGCTCCTTACAGGTGTCCGGTCGTGGCTCCTTACAGGTGTCCGGTCGTGGCTCCTTACAGGTGTCCGGTCGTGGCTCCTTACAGGTGTCCGGTCGTGGCTCCTTACAGGTGTGTGGTCGTGGCTCCTTACAGGTGTGTGGTCGTGGCTCCTTACAGGTGTCTGGTCGTGGCTCCTTACAGGTGTGTGGTCGTGGCTCCTTACAGGTGTGTGGTCGTGGCTCCTTACAGGTGTCTGGTCGTGGCTCCTTACAGGTGTCTGGTCGTGGCTCCTTACAGGTGTCTGGTCGTGGCTCCTTACAGGTGTCTGGTCGTGGCTCCTTACAGGTGTCTGGTCGTGGCTCCTTACAGGTGTCTGGTCGTGGCTCCTTACAGGTGTCTGGTCATGGCTCCTTACAGGTGTCTGGCCGTGGCTCCTTACAGGTGTCTGGCCGTGGCTCCTTACAGGTGTCTGGCCGTGGCTCCTTACAGGTGTCTGGCCGTGGCTCCTTACAGGTGTCTGGCCGTGGCTCCTTACAGGTGTCTGGTCGTGGCTCCTTACAGGTGTCTGGTCGTGGCTCCTTACATTTGTCCGGTCGTGGCTCCTTACAGGTGTCCGGTCGTGGCTCCTTACAGGTGTCCGGTCGTGGCTCCTTACAGGTGTCCGGTCGTGGCTCCTTACAGGTGTCCGGTCGTGGCTCCTGACAAGTTACAAGCATGCTTGGTTACAAGCATAACCAAGCAAATATTGCGGCAGTCAGAAGAATGATAGGATGGATTACGAGAACTTTCAAATCCAGGGATCCCATCACAATGGTTGTACTCATCAAGTCACTTGTGTTGTCCCGTCTTGAGTACTGCTCAGTACTCACTTCCTCCTTCAGAGCAGGAGAGATTGCTGAAATAGAGGGAATACAGAGAACATATACGGCACGCATAGACGAGATAAAACACCTAAATTATTGGGATCGTCTCAAAGCTCTCCAAATGTACTCACTAGAAAGGAGACGAGAGAGATACCAAATAATATACACATGGAAAATACTGGAGGGCCAGGTACCAAATCTACACAGTAAAATAACAACATACTGGAGTGAACGATATGGAAGAAAATGCAGAATAGCACCAGTGAAGAGCAGAGGTGCCATAGGCACAATCAGAGAACACTGTATAAACATCAGAGGTCCGCGGCTGTTCAACGTCCTCCCAGCGAGCATATGAAATATTGCCGGAACAACCGTGGACATCTTCAAGAGAAAACTAGATAGTTTTCTTCAAGGAGTGGCGGACCAACCAGGCTGTGGTGGATATGTGGGCCTGCGGGCCGCTCCAAGCAACAGCCTGGTGGACCAAGCTATCTCACAAGTCGAGCCTGACCTTGGGCCGGGCTTGGGGAGTAGAAGAACTCCCAGAACCCCATCAAGCAGGTATTAACCAATCAGGTAAGTGTCAAGG